TACCTTAGAAGTTTTTACATCTCTGAATTAAGGACTACAGTTATTTTTCCCCTCCATCCAAACAAAATTCATGATTATTAAACTCTTTTAAAGTGGGAACAGTTGAGATAATGAAAAGAAAGGCGTATTCGAACTCAGTATTTCGCTTTACATACGAATCAACAGGAATAACACCGTTACAGATTTTCATGTTAAACAATGAAATCAGGAAATGTTTTGGCGAGAGTTCATCATAAACTGACATTTCATAAATCTTCCGAAAATAGAGTATTTTAATATTATTTATGAACGCATAACTAAATATTCTCCCAAATAACCAATAATTAAATAAAAAATAAGTTAAATATTATTTTAAGGGTTGTGCAAAATTTGATTATAGTCCGAAAATATTTCAGGGTCTTTTGCATGATGTAGGAACACACAAAAAAAAGGAATGGTTTTTATTGATAAAATATTATAATCAAGACCCGTAATTGCTTCCAGACTATTTGCAATAGCTGTGGAAATTTCGCTAACGGTGTTTTCCTTTGAATTCTTTATTGTATTATAAGCCATTCTCTACAAAAAAAATATGCTTGAATTATTTTTTCATTTGTCTGCAATTCAAAATTTTCGAAAATTGGCTTTTTAAATGGATTTCTTTGTTATTACTTTAGAATTTATAATAAAATTAAATATTAAATAAGGAATAAAATGTTTTGTCCCTTTTAAACAAATTCATACAAAAAGAGGTTAAAAAAAAAGATCTTCATACGAATAATATTAAAATTATTCGAATTAATATTAAAATTTTCACTTAAAAAAATTGCCATTTTAATGTAATAGTGGATCTTTATAATATTATCTGATAATACTAAATTTCTTCTCAAATCCTAAACATAATTCACTTAACAATTTTTTAAGTATTGAAAATTAAGAAAAACACGTTTAATTAGACCTTGTAAGTAAATATTAAAACTAATTAGTGTTCTTAAAGTTTGGGACATTTCGGAGAAATAGTATATTTGTAGATCACACTTAATATTAAGTGGCAATTTATTTATTTATTACTTCGTTTGTGTGTAATGCGTCTTATGTGACATTGTTTTTCAAATTTCATATGATAACAATTACCGTTCATAAAAATTAAAACTATTTTTAAGCAGGTACTTCTTCTTTTTGAGCTTTTCCGTCAGCTTTAGTTAGACTCTAAAATATTTGTGTTTTTATTAAAATTTCGCACAGCTATTACAATTTTATTGATTTTTTTTTCAATGTTATTTTTTAGATGAGGCATCCAGTTATACTGTGATAAATAATATTGAAATAATTTGTTTGTTTATTTTAGGTATTTCAGTACAATGGCAACTCCTCGAAATATTTTCTGATAATATGAAAATTTTTAACAGCCCCTAAGTAACACTGTTTTTAATTTTTGCCAGCTCTTAGATATTTAGTGCGACTCTAATATTAATAATGTTAAAATACAAAACTTCCATTTAATTTTAAGAAATTTTGCTGTAAATATTGAACCTTCTTGATTCATTTCAAAATTTCCATACAATTTTATGACATTTTGATGTAAATATTGGATTTTTTAGTTTCATTTCAAAATTTCTAAAACTTGATACTTTCTAATTTAATATGAAACATAACTTTTGAGCATTATTTTATTTTCACATTAGATTACATTTTGCCTGTAAATATTTACATTACATTTGCTGTAAATATTGAACTTTCTTGATTCATTTCAAAATTTCCATTTAATTTTATGACATTTCACTGTAAATATTAGGCCTTCTAGATTCATTTCAAAATTTCCATTTAATTTAATGATATTTTGCTGTAAATATTCAACCTTCTATATTCATTTTAAAATTTTGATTCAATTTTGCGACATTTTGATATAAATATTGAACTTTTCAGATTCATTTCAAAATTTGTAAGACTTGGTATTTTCTAATTTAATAAGAAACATAACTTTTGAGCATTATTTTATATTTTTTTTACATTAGAAAGAGAGTTATTTTATACTGCACTTTTATAAGTAAATGGAGTCTGGAGGGGAATCTGCTGCCTTGAGGGTGCAAGCGGCTACCGTCAGTTTCTTAAGCGGCGTCTATCTCTTGTACTAATATTTAATTATATTGATCACCACAATTTGAGAAATTAATAGAATTAAGTAGCGTGCTGAGATCCATTGAGCATAACATGAATTAGAATGCTGCAGTGTTGCAGTTCTAGCAGCCTTTCATATCCTGAAACTATTGTTATTCAGAAGCATTTTTTAGTTTTCAAACGTCCAACAATAGAAATTTTCCTGTTTTAGTTCTTATTTTTGACCATGGATAAACCCTAAATAAAACACACAAACCATGTTGCTTTAGCAACTGTAATCCACTAGACACCATGACGGTGGCTATTCTGATAAACAGACAGTACCTACTTTTCTTCTTCTGCCCTGAGCCTCTCAGCATTCCCCTGCATGTTGCGTAGTTGATGATTTGTAGTTATTTGTGAGCAATCGTAACAGTTTTGTCTCGTATTGTTATCGTCCATTGTGAAAATCTAGTTATCGTTTTGTTTATTTTGATTGATATTTTACTAATGCACGGTTTTATTGTATGTTTAGTAAGCTATGTTATCTTTAATACTATTTGATATCAGTTTTTTCCATCATGTTAAATCAAAGAAGAAAGTTAAAAAAAAACTGAACATATACTGTTGAGTGGTAAATAGATTATTTTATTTTTATTTATGTAAAAATAAAATGGTTTATTTATTATGCAACGCAGTTTTTACTACTTAGAGAAAGCGAATGCAAATAAACATTATTTGACTGACGAAGAACATGAAATATTGCAATTAAAAATGTGAATTTCGACAAGAAATCTTACTTGAAAAATATTTTTACTATATTATTTTTATTTGAAACATTATTTAAATATGTGCAGTTATCTATTATAAATTTAATAAATATTCGCATTATAATAAGTTATAAGCCTTATAATAATACAAAAATATTTCCTATTGTTAATTTTTGCTTTAATAAATGACTTAATGTTTTTTTTTTGCATTATTTATATATAATACAATAAAATGATTAAAATACAATAAATGAACTATGCAGCAACTATAATAATTTTTATAGGTATATATAGGTATACGCATTTATACACATTTATAGGTATATGAGCTTATGCGACATCCCTTATCACTGCCTTATTTAATTGAGGTCTCTCATAGTAAAACGGTTCTTCACCTCTGGTCTAAACATTTCATCATCAAAAATAAACATAAAGGTCAAAATTGTTATGCTCAAAATTTTTAGAAATATCTATATGTAGCTAAAAAAAAAGCTTACAGAAATATCTGTACACATTTGATTTTGTTTATCATAGTTTTGATTATCGAAGTTTTCGTTCTCGAAAAACTTAGCGTAGACAAAAATTCAACCATTATCAGAACGCTTACGCATACAAGATTTAGTTCGCACGTGGTTTCGTAGGATACGAGATTTTCTCGCGGACAATTTTTAGGAGGCAAACAGGCAATATTAGGAGATATAGGCAATATTTCGGAGGAAATATTTTGCTCCTGATAATATTAAAAGTAAAATAGTATTTTAAGATTCATAAATATTTGTTTTAACATTCTTTGTAGTTAAAATTATCTTTGTCAATTAAGTCAAAATGTAAATGTTTCCTTTCAATTAGCAGTAATAGTTTAATTAGTTAAGTAATTGAAAAAATAAGTCCTGTAGAGTTTATTATTCTATACATCAATAGTCTAGAATTTAAAATGCATTCTATGAGCTTCTTATTGTATATATGATATCTATTGTTTGATATCTGTTGTCTCAGTTACGTCTTAAGACATAACTGAGATTAAATAACTCAATGAAAATAAAATAAAAAGAATTAAATTTCTAAACTTGTTTCAACTTTTTTTAATTTCCCTCTTTTTCTTAAAAAAATCAGGTGATACATGTTTATACATGTTATCTCATTTGATAAGACCTTAACATGAAAAAGTGTTGCATGAAGTGTGAAATTATTTGTTCGTCAGTTGTAAAAAACTAAAAATATGTAAACAAGCGAAAATACCTTATAAAAGCAAATATAACTTTTATTAACTTTCTTCGATATTTCTTTCTTTCTTTTTCTTAATTTATATATATGTATATTAGATTTTTTAGATTTTATGTTATGTTAACTAATTATATTCTTTACAAAAGCATTTATTAAAATATTTTTAAATCAAAAAATTTAAATTAGCTTCAAATTTAAAAATAACCTAGCATTGGAGCACAAAAGATCATATTATTTTAACTTATAATTTTATTCTATAAAAAATTTTTAAGCTAAAATTTTTAATTTTAATTAAAAATTCATTTTTTCAAGTAAAAAATTTAATATATAGTTAACAATTACTCAAAATTCCAAAGAAATTTGAAACTTTTATTTAATCATTTTCATGAATTCAAATTATACTTTAAAATAATATCAAATTCAAATGTAATTTTATCAATATTACGAGTCAAATATGAAGATAGTTCGAAAAAATACCGATTAAAATTTCCTTTCCCCACTTATATGACTTGAAACCAAATAGTTTTTTTATCGTTACCATAAGTTAAAACAAAACTTTATTTTATATTCATTACACGTTAAAAATTTATTTTGTAATTATCAGGAATTAAAATTTATTTTTTTTCGTTATGATGAATAAAATTTTAGAGCATCATTAATATGAATTAAAATATTATTTTAACGTTGTCAAAAACTAATAAATTTTCTTATTATAATCATGTTCAGTATCGCATGAATATTCAACAATTCTTCTGCTTCAAATTAGCTCAAAGCCCTCTTGGGTAGTAAAGTTTTTACTTTTTATTTTTATACTGTTTTCATACTAATTTTGACTTATATTCTAATTCTGATTTATATACAGATACCATTTTCCCATATGAAAGCAAGTACACAAACAATAATTATAATAATAAAAAAAAAAATACTTACTTGAGTCATTGCAAAGTTTTCCACTTCATCGTTATTTGCGGGAGGCACCGTTGGGTGGACATTTACGTCCTCTATCTTCTCATCAACGCCTACACCACCCTCAGAAGGGGGCATCACAATCTCTTCCACCCCCGCAATGGAAGATTTCTTCTTATATTGAGCTACATCCTCCTTTCCAGGAAGAGTATCTAAGAGTGCTTCTCTCTTTAATCTTTTCCTTCTCGTACACAAATGCACAAAACTTAATAAACTAAGTCCAAAAAGTCCACCTGCTACGGAAAACACTGTGATGGTCAGGCTGTACGGGCAAGGAGCAGCTCTTTCATCAAATACACTCAAAAGAACACAAGTAAGTCCAAAACCAAGAAGTCCGCAACCTGTAACTACAAAGGTGGCTGTTATGCAAATACACCTGACAAGTCTAGAGCTAACTGTACTTTGTTGTTTCCTAATAACAGGACCATTGCCCATCGATGGACCGGTAGGGCTGATATTCGACATCATCGGCGTAGCATTGTAAGTCGACTTCTAGATGTTGCTTTGCGGTGAGTTAACATCATTTTGAAGACGAGATCGAGTTGATTGGGGAAGAGAAGATCAGTGGGGATTTTCTTGCGGCTATTTTTTCCCCATTACGGACCTTTAGACCAAGTGCGAGGATAGATCGCGTTATTTTTTTTTCATCAGTGCGGCTGATCAAATATCATCAACAGTTTAATTCGAAGTTAGTTTTTTTTCCTCTTGTCTACGGCTTGATAAGCGTGTTAGTATTCTTTGATAGAAGGACGATAGATTTTCTCAGAAAACGCAATAAACTATTATCTGTTATTTTTAATTCTTCTTGCTGTAGAATTCGTGGTTTTTAAAATTCTATGATTTTCCCTTCCTTATCAATGTTCTAAATTAAGTTCATTGACAAATTATCACGCATTTGAATAAAAAAAACGTTTTAAACGCTGAAAATGTAATCGAAAAACATTCAATGTTCATGAAAATAAATATAAATAAAAAGAAATCCAATTTTTCTTTTCTTTAATTTAGATTCTCATTGCTAAAATAATTTAAAATATTAATTTTCATACATTGTGCAGTTGCAAGCAACAAATTTACGAACTGTTATTATCACTTTTTTTAAAAACAACTTTACTTGATCAACCAATTCGTCGTATTAACTTGTCATAAACAAACTGCACAGCGTCATGCTTAAAAATTTGTATTTTTTTAGTTAAATTGCACAAAAAACACTGTTACATAAACACCTACTAAAATAGCATTAAAAAAAGCACAGGAAAAAAAAGCACGGAGTAAAAGAGCCTTTTTTGGAATGCAAAACGGAATCCAAATTTAATACTTTTCGAATGCAATTAAGTAATATTTTAAAAATTACAAAAATTAATTTGAAGGTAACGAATAAAAAATTTACATTTTGAATTAAATACATTCGTCTTTATATTTAATATCTTTCAATTAGCATGAATCGAATGGTTCGTTAAATTTATATATTTTTTTAAGCGATTACATCACTACTTCATATGTCAGAACCACATTGCAATCATAAGAGGATTTTTTTCCAGAACACTTTTTGTCGCGATTTTTATATGAATAAAAATCATGATCCTGAAATAACATTATGAAATGTTAATTTTATCTTCTTAAATGTATGTTGCGTCCAGATATAATTTAAACAATGGTTGTAATTTAAATCAAACAAAAAATAGATACGTATTTTTGTTGTTTGCTGAAATGGAGAGAATTTGTTTATATTTTGGGGATTGTCCCTTTTAACCTTGAGGATTCAGCCGAATCAAAAGAGTGTTAATTAGAAGGGAAGAATCGATCACACACTAGAAATTTAAAAATGCTGTTGAGTTAAAATATTATTGTGACTACTACTAGTAGTAGTAGAATATTTGTGTCGTACTAGAGCTGCACAATGGGCTATTGGCGATGGCCTGGGAAACATCTCTTTACTGTAAAAATTGGATACACAAATATCACGAAAATTTCTTCGTTTATGACGAAACCATTTCCTGGTATGTACTCCGAGCGAAATTTTTGTCAAACTGACGAAATTACTATCGTCATCATTTCTTCGAGGAAACGAATTTTGTCAAAAGTTAAGAAATATTTAGTAATTCTACTTTTTTTTAAATCGTGATGCCTAGTGTATCTAACTTTTTCAATAAACAATTTAAAACTTTTTTAAAAGCACTAATAAACAATTATACGTGGGCACCATATAGGCATCACAACAAAGAGAAATAGAACAGAGAGATAAATTAGATCCATGCCCGAAGCGAGATTCGAATCCCGATTTATCCTGGCACGAAGTCAACTCCCTGTACACCATACCGCCCGGTTGGCTTGGCTTAACTCGTCACTTTATTTTCGATTGTCTAGTCTTAATTCTAGTTTCATCATTCTAGTTAACAATTTCCCACATTGCACCATGATGAGGTTTGGAGTTGAGGAAACATCCTCGTCATATATTTGAGAGATCGCGTTTGGTCACATATCTTCCAGCTAGCTCATCATAGGAATTACATTATTATTTTTAAATTTCCATTTAGAAGGAGTGGATTCAAAGGAGTAGATTTTTACCACAAATTTAATGCCACAGGCTGAATGGTGACTGTCGATGAAAAACACGCACAAGAAAATGCTTAAAAAAACAAGAAGAAAAAACAAAGAAAAATAAAGAAAACGTTTTGAAAAGCATGCCACGCAAAAAATAAAAAAAAAGAAAGAAAGAAAGAGAAAAGAACGTTTTAAAACATAAAACTAACTTCTTATAATGTTTTCCTTAACTAGTTCTATCTAGATCAGGGGTTTCCAACAGGCAGCCCGGGGGCCGCATCCGAAACGCGAAACCTTTTCTTATGGCCCGTGAACTAAAAAATATTAGTTGTCATTTTTTTGCGGACAATTTTCGTAAAAAATCTATATGGGTTTAAAATACTTTTCTCGCTAATAAAAACTTAATTTGTTCGTTTCTGTAAAATTTGACATACCAACAATGCAAAAAAATTTATTTCTCAGGTTTTGCATCGAAGAAAATATTTATTCAAATACAAAAATAATTGTGTATGTTGCTCTTTTTTATTTCATTTTTTTTGTATTTTGTGAAGATAATTTAGCATGTGTGTATCAGAATTTTTCTCGAAGAAATTCTTCGATTTAACTTCTTGAAACCACTCATTTTGGACGAAAATATTTACACACACATTTGTAAATTTTAAATTTAAAGTGTAAATATGTATTCTCTGGTAGTTGCAGCAGGCAAACCTCCCATTGAATATTTTGTGTGATTCAATGTAAGTTTTAATACCAACCTTTTTAAAGTTTTACATCTTAACAATTAGATATATGTTGCACATTAATTGTTTAATACATAGGTGCACATCAAAGTTATTGTATCCCGTATTTTTATTATTTATTTAATATTTTTAAAAATATTATTAATAGCAATAAAATATCTTTAAAAATCTACTCTTTATTTTAATTTGTAATTCAATACTTTTGTTTTGTACAACTTGGTAAAAATCTTACAGTAATATCTAATGTTCCTTCAAACATAAAAGAGTCCTACATAATAAAGTTGCTGCCCGCCATTTGATTTGTGATTTTCCCCCCTCATCCCCAGCCTCATGTAAGTTGGAAACCCCTGATCTAGATATATCAAAATGTTGATAAGAAAATGGCACACTAAGATAAACAGTGTTGAACAGCCGACACAATTCTGAGTTAACGACTGTAAGTGTTCAACTCCATTGCCTTGTAATTTTGAACCCAATCCAGAATACAAGGGAACTTCCGGATCAAACATTGGGACAAATTAGTCATAATTAAGGACTTTTTGGTGGAACTAACCAACATTTGCTTTTCATGGCGATGAAAGCTATGAAAACCTTCCAATATTAGCCCAACAGCAAAAGAGTTCTCAGCTTGAGGATATTTTATTTTTGAAAGCAATGTGGTCTATATGAGCCGGAAGCAGATTTAGCATCAAACTGCCAATAATGGGATTCGAACGAGGATCATTGGGAGGCGAGCGCGTTATACCATGATCCATCAAAAAATAGCAGAGTTTTGCTAAGCTTTCCTTATACAGCTGAACGATTTATAAATATTGAAACAATGTTGATAGCCTGGTTGGTAGGTCGGCGAACTAGTGTTCGTGAGAACTGGAGTTTGAATTCAGTCGGACGAAGAATTCGCGTGTTTTAAATAATGAGTGATGCAAGTTAAATCTGTCGAGGTCACAAAATCCTCCAAGTTCCCATAACAAATTAATACCTTTAGGGTAGCCGTGATGGCTCAGGGGATAGAGCGTTCACCTTTGAATGAAGTGAACCGGGATCGAATCCCAGCGATGGCCGGTCGTTACGAATTCCGCATCTGACTTACACCGGCCATAGTATTGAAGTAAGAGAGAGGGATCATGGGTTAGAGTCCCCTTGTTGTCAGGCTAACCGTCGGATGTTTTCATGGTTCTCCTCTTCATGTAACGCAAATGCGGGTTAGTTCCATCAAAAAGTCCTCCATGAAGGCAAATTTCTCCCTATACTTAATCCAAGAGTTCCTTGTCTTCTGGATTGGGTTCAAAATTATAAGGCTACGGAGTTGAACACTGGTAGACGTAAACTCAAAATCAGGTTGCCTGTTCAACGACTGCTATAAAATGAAATAAAATATTGTCATCCGCCATATAACAATCTGATCTTTTCTTGCTATTTTTACAGAAACAATTAAATAGCTTAATAACTAATTACGAAAAACATTTTGGTTAGGAAAATGAAATTTTTATCATGGGTAAAGTAACACTAAATTTTTGTAAAAAAAAATTATTTTTAATCAACATAGTTTGTTACATAATTAAAGCCATAAAACGAAGAATAAATTTAATATAAACTACTTCAGAACACGCGTAAAAAATATATCCATTTTTATCAGCAAAATAAACATTATAGATAAACCCATTTTCCCACTCTCGAATTTTTTTAATTAGTTTTGGAACAATATTTATTTTTATTCAGCTGATTGTAAATTCAAATAGAACTTTAAAACTTTATCTTAAAAACATCGATAACAATTAACTTCAATAAACTAAATCGATTCCTCTCTAAGTTTGATTTATTTCAAGCCCACTTTTAACAATTTAAGAGTTGTATACTTTCATTGTTTGTATTATCTGTTATCAAAATAGAGTACAATACTTAAGAAGATGTATTCAATTGTCTGATGCGATAAAAAAGATTAAAATAAACTGCTCTTCAATTTAACAAAAGAAAAACAATCTTTTCCACACGCGATGTCTTCGTTGATTAAACGTTCCTTGAAGAAGTTTTATTTTTGTAACGTCTCACGCCTACAATTCTTTTCTTAAGAGTCATAATTAGCAAAATTAGTCTTGTTTTATTGTCTTTCTGAGTTATTGCATACGATTTAGAAACATGCAGTAGGAGTATATACTAATTTTATTGCATCTTTCTACCAACACAATAAATTGAAACCAAAAAGGAAAAAAATGTCTTTATAATTTATTCGTTTTTAACGAAATTAAGCTTGAAATGTTTAGTTTAAATTTAAGATTTTTAAAAATTTTTATAAACAGAAATTTTTATTACTTGATTAA